TGCAAACCGCTGCTGGCATTAAAGGGAAACTGTAGCCACTATAACCACTTTATCTCATTGAAGTGGTTATAGTGCCTGCAGTCCCCTGGCGCTGTCCCTCCATTCAGTGTTAAACCATTCCATATCATTGAAGTGGTTATAGTTCCTGGAGTCCCCTGACGCTGTCCCTCCATTCAGTGTTAAACCATTCCATCTCATTGAAGTGGTTATAGTGCCTGGAGTCCCCTGACGCTGTCCCTCCATTCAGTGTTAAACCATTCTCTCTCATTGAAGTGGTTATAGTGCCTAGAGTCCCCTGGCTCTGTCCCTCCATTCAGTGTTAAACCATTCCATCTCATTGAAGTGGTAATGGTGTCTGGAGTCCCCTGACGCTGTCCCTCCATTCAGTGTTAAACCATTCCATCTCATTGAAGAGGTTATAGTGCCTAGAGTCCCCTGACACTGTCTCTCCATTTCATTTTAAATTATTTTTGAGCAGTTTAACACTGAATGAGGGCCCCTGGCTTATCATAGCTCTGCCCCCACTGGAGTTGTGGCTAAGGCAGAGATTACACACTTCCTTCTAGCCATATCAATTCATATCAGCAATGGGAGCTGTGATAGACTGAAAGCGATCAGCTAACACACTCAGCCAATCACAGTCATCCATTGCTGTTTAGGTTAATGCTGATATGAGAGGATGGGCTGCTGGGGACCCTTGATTAACATTAAAACATAAAAAAACAGTTTAATCCTAAATGGAACACCAGCGCCAAGGGACCAGGGGCGCAAGCTGAGGAGTGGCACAAAAATCTGTTGTAAGGTTGAGCAGTGATTTTTGCGCCCTCTCTTCGGCCAGCGCCCCTAGCTCCATTTACAAGAAAGGTAATAGGGAGGAGTCGGGCAACAATAGGCCAGTAAGCCTTACTTCAGTAGTGGGGAAAGTGATGGAAACCATGTTAAAGGATAGGATTGATGAACATCTAAAAACACATGGATTTCAAGATCAGAGGCAACATGGGTTTACTTCAGGGAGATCATGCCAAACTAATCTTATTGATTTTTTTGATTGGGTAACTAAAATTATAGATCAGGGTGGTGCAGTAGACATTGCTTACCTAGATTTCAGTAAGGCTTTTGACACTGTTGCACATAGAAGGCTTATCAATAAACTGCAATCTTTAAGTTTGGATTCCAATATTGTTGAATGGGTAAGGCAGTGGCTGAGTGACAGGCAACAGAGGGTTGTAGTTAATGGAATATATTCGAAGCTTGGACTTGTCACCAGTGGGGTACCTCAGGGATCTGTACTTGGACCCATTCTCTTTAATATTTTTATTAGTGATATTGCAGAAGGTCTTGATGGTAAGGCATGTCTTTTTGCTGATGATACTAAGATATGTAACAGGGTTGATGTTCCAGGAGGGATAAACCAAATGACAAATGATTTAGGTAAACTAGAAAAATGGTCAGAATTGTGGCAACTGACATTTAATGTGGATAAGTGCAAGATAATGCATCTTGGACGTAAAAACCCAAGGGCAGAGTACAGAATATTTGATAGAGTCCTAACCCAACATATGAGGAAAGGGATTTAGGGGTGATTATTTCTGATGACTTAAAGGTAGGCAGACAATGTAATAGAGCAGCAGGAAATGCTGGCAGAATGCTTGGTTGTATAGGGAGAGGTATTAGCAGTAGAAAGAGGGAAGTGCTCATGCCATTGTACAGAACACTGGTGAGACCTCACTTGGAGTATTGTACACAGTACTGGAGACCGTATCTTCAGAAGGATATTGATACCTTAGAGAGGGTTCAGAGAAGTGCTACTAAACTGGTTCATGGATTGCGGGATAAAACTTACCAGGAAAGGTTAAAGGATCTTAACATGTATAGCTTGGAGGAAAGACGAGACAGGGGGGATATGATAGAAACATTTAAATATATAAAGGGAATCAACACAGTAAAGGAGGAGACTATATTTAAAAGAAGAAAAACTACCACAACAAGAGGACATAGTCTTAAATTAGAGGGACAAAGGTTTAAAAATAATATCAGGAAGTATTACTGTTACGGCACCCTCAGCATAAAAGGGTTAAACCGCCGTTTAGTAGATCTTCCCTTCCAGAGATGCAGGCACAGCTACTGCAGAACACCAATCCGCCGAACAGGAAACCATGCGAATGCTGTAAACAGCCGAATAGGAAAAACCATACGAATAGGTTTACACTCCTAGCAGTCAAACTGGAACAGCATACAATAAATCCCCCCAAGAACGAGACAAAGCTCCGTGTTGAGGGTCAAGCAGTGAACAGACAGAGCTGTGGGTTTATTGTTCTTATGAACACATTCTTACACATTAGTACCACCCACAGGGTTTTGGAACACAACCAATAAACACATACAATACACTCAGACACTCCCACACAAATTTCTCCCCTCTGCATGTGATTCAATTACCTTACACAATGGGTAATGTAATTTAGCACAAGCAGAGAAATACAATGTTTCCACATTATTCATAACTTGAAAAGTATGCATCACATTTTACATAAACTAACATTTTCAGAATCAGCATACCGCCAAAATCATACTAATTGGTCCAATGGTTCAAAAGATAGATCGTAGTCCTTTGTGACCATTAGGAAGCATGGCTTTTCTGCCCAAAACCAGTTCCACAGAGTTCTTTTCTATCCTGAGATAATTAGAAGTAATCCAATTATCTCCAAAGACAGAGGCAAGTAAAACTCCATTGAACACATGGCAGCAAAAGACAATAAAACACATAAAAACATATAACTGTGCAGCCATTGCACAAAACAGGTACATTCAACATATCCCCAGATAGCTCAGATCTAAGCGCACATTATTACTGAATGGCGCTCAGAGCACACACACATACAGTTCAATTACCATGGAGCCAAAGTCTTTCCCATAGTCTTTCATTATACGAATGGGCTCCATGGCATAGTTATCTGGGGTATCACCGCTCAAACAGGGCAAGCACCAAATGACCCGGCTTTCATGTCTTTGCAGGGGAAAATAAAGCCTTTTAACATGGGTCATAATCAAAAGGCAACAGGCGCAACCAGGCTTCTCCAATGCAATGTGGCAAGATTGGTCTCGTCACATCCCCTAACACACCATGTAGCCACACCATCTACTACTCCCCTCACACACCATCTACACACTCCAGAACTCCCCTCACACACCACCTATACATTCCAGTACTCCCCTCACAAACCATCTACACATACCATCTGCTACTCCCCTCACACACCGTCTACACACTCCAGTACTCCCCTTATACACCATCTACACACACCATCTACACACACAATCTGCTACTCCCCTCACACACCATCTACACACTCCAGTACTCCTCTCACACACCATCTACCCACTCCAGTACTCCCCTCACATACCATCTACTACTCCCCTCACACATCATCTACACACTCCAGTAAACCCCTCACACACCATCTACACACTCCAGTACTCCCCTCACATACACACCATCTAGTACTACCCTCACACACTCCAGTACTCCCCTGACACTCTGCCAGCCTGCTCCATTTCCCCCTCACACTCTACCAGCCCACTCCAGTCCCACCCTCACACTCTACCAGCCCGCTTCAGTTTCCCCCTCACACTCTACCAGCCCGCTCCAGTCCCCCCTCACATTCTACCAGCCTGCTCCAGTTCCCCCCTCACACTCTACCAGCACGCTCCAGTTCCCCCCTCACACTCTACCACTCCGCTCCAGTCCCCCCTCACACTCTACCAGCTTGCTTCAGTTTTCCGCTCACACTCTGACAAAGGTCTGTCTGACAAAGGTATGGAGGGAGGAGGGACCTTTTATGCCAACAGTCTAATTAATTGTTTAATTATTTCCTATCCTGTTCTGGCTGGGGGTGGAGGTACCCATAAATGATGCTGCCTTAATTAGTAAGGAAATTGTTGTCCCGTTCCTGGCTACATGTCTAATCACACCCGTAAAATTGAAGTGTCCCTCTTTGTCCATTTGAAACATTAGAAGGTGTGCATATTACCCTAATGAATATCTTATTGATGAACTAATTTCAGTATCACAGCTACTGGATAGAACTCCAATCTAACCTATTGATATAGATCTCTAACAGCATTTAGACCACACATTCCTCTCTAGAACCGTGGGTGGGAGGAGGGGGATTAAAGTCCCTTTTACAGTAAAAATTCATAGAGAATTGTAAACTTTATACTTTTTAAATGTGCTTAAAATGAAAGCATGAGCATAGAAAACTATTATATCCTTCACAGTTGTCCCTTCTTTCTACTTGCTATACACCAAATGATGTTAACTATTCTATGAAATGATATCACGAGATATAATATAAATTCTGTTGGTAGGAGGTATCCAGGCTGTTAAAACTGACAATCAACAGTGAGATATGGCCATCTACTGGGAAAGCAGAACAAGTAACATTGAAACCAGCTTCTTGTTTTACTCCCCCGCCAGCCCCCGGTGTATTTGAGAAGACAGGCTTTTCAATTACATTTGTTTTACCCCTTTAGTTACCATTGCCTAACGCAGGGTTAGGCAACCCTTGGCACTCCATATCTTGTGGACTACATATCCCATG